TAGAATAGAATAGAATAGAATAGAATAGAATAGAATAGAATAGAATAGAATAGAATAGAATAGAATAGAATAGAATAGAATAATGCTTTATTACATTCTTAATGAAATCTGACATTTCAGTTTTGGTAATTGTTGTATCAAAGCTTTTTCAAGTTAAAATAAACTACAATTAAACTACACATACAATACAACAATAGATTTCAAATAAACAACAACGAAATCACACTGAAAATATAGCACAACAATACATTAATTGATTTTCACCTGTTCTTTTCTTATTTTGTAGGCTTTCTGTAAGTGTAATTTAATAACTCGAGTATGTTTGGTTTCGGGACAGCGGCAATCCAGATTATAACAGCGCCCTCAGATGATAAAGTGCTGTCGCAATAATACCGCGGTAATTGACAGTCTTTGTTTGACGATTTGTTGTGGTCGTTTTGGCTCGTTTTTTGGGCGTTTGGTTCGTTTTTTGGTCGCGGTTTGACTCGTTTTGGGGTCGTTTCGTAATATGTCTAAGCCCCTTTTAAATTAGTTTATCATTTAGATCGTCTGACTGGCAAACTATTACTTTTCTACTTTCACTTTCTAAATTAGAACCTAGGACATATAAATTTAGAAATAAATTTAGACATTTATAATTTAGCTTTATAAATTGGAATTTAATTTTTATAAATTTACCATTAGACACTTCGGGAACGTAATTTAATACGGAAAGAAAAAAAAAACAGTTATGGCGCAAGGGTCGTCGAGGGCTTAGAAAAGCGCAGTTAGCAGCCGCCGCAATGAAAAACATGGTCACCTGGTAGCTGACGAGGATGTACGTGTGGGTATGCAGCGTTGAAAAATACGCATCACATTTACGCCGGGTGATTGGGGTATGCTGAACATTACCAGAAACGCATTGTCTCCTTCCAGTGGTACACGTGATGTTATTATCACGTGATAACTGATAACCTCTGACCCACATGTTCTCACTTGCGGAAGCTGACACAGAAAACCAGAAACACGTCAGGAGCAAAAACACACCACTTCATTTAATCGGCCTCTCGAGATTGCGAAATTTTAAGCAGTAAGATGTCACATACTAAGACAGTTGTTGTCACAGGTAGGTAGCATGTCATTGGTATTATTGGATACCTTCATTCCGCGTTTCAGTACAGCCTGCGCCTAAATGCAGCAGGGAGATATTATAATTGGAGGTCAAGTCTGAGAAAAGATGCATTACGCTTTCTGTATGATGTACTAGTATCATAATTTCAGCGTGATTCTGATTAGTAGAGAAAAGTGTTAAAGTACGTCTACGAGCCCACAGCCATTGAACCTTCATATCTATTTTACATAAATTCGTAAAATTACTAGCAATCACCAAACCCAACCTGCCCGCACCATGATTTACAAAATGCACACGTGTGTTTACTGACTGAATTTGAGGTGTGTGGGGGTGTGGGGGGGGGGGGGGCTCAATTCATTCCATTTCATATTTGCCTAATGTGATGCAATGTTATGTATTTGTAAATAAAATAGACAATAGGAGTTTGTTGACATTGTCAGTATGTAGTGCAGTGGCAGAGATGGTAATATTGGTGAGAAACGTATTTGAATACTAGTAGGTAATAAATAGACTGCATGTGAGGAGCATGGTAATGGCAACTAAAACATTTCAAATGTGACAGATATATCAATTTATTGAAAATATTACTGTAAGTTTTAAATTTTCAAGTTTTTAGAAATGCCAAACATGTTGGCACACTTGAAATGCTTGGACGCTATATGAAAATCGGCAACACAGCTGGCTATCTTGGTTTTGAAATGCTTGGACGCTATATGAAAATCGACAACACAGCTGGCTATCTTGGTTTTGAAATGCTTGAACGCTATATGAAAATCGACAACACAGCTGGCTATCTTGGTTTTGAAATGCTTGGACGCTATATGAAAATCGGCAACACAGCTGGCTATCTTGGTTTTGAAATGCTTGGACGCTATATGAAAATCGGCAATACAGCTGGCTATCTTGGTTTTGAAATGCTTGGACGCTATATGAAAATCGGCAATACAGCTGGCTATCTTGGTTTTGAAATGCTTGGACGCTATATGAAAATCGGCAATACAGCTGGCTATCTTGGTTTTGAAATGCTTGGACGCTATATGAAAATCGGCAACACAGCTGGCTATCTTGGTTTTGAAATGCTTGGACGCTATATGAAAATCGACAACACAGCTGGCTATCTTGGTTTTGAAATGCTTGGACGCTATATGAAAATCGACAACACAGCTGGCTATCTTGGTTTTGAGAGTTGATTTTGGCACAACCTAATCAGTTCTCAATTGGTTTGATTTTACAGCTTGACTGTGGTTACAAAAATAATCCACAATTCTTGTTCCATTGTTGCTTGATCTCATTTAAATGATAGAAAAATGAAAAGTTTATTTTTTAAAGGAATATGTTATATAGCATGGTTGTTATGGTGACTGTGCATGTGTGTGTAGTATATTAACATGTGTATAACTCAACATGTAATAAAGAAATGAAATGAAATTGATGGTTGTAAGTGACAACTTTGAACTGCAATAAGTAATTCTGCATAATTATATATATTATTAACCAATGTATCTTGTATTGTTTGTGAAGGATTCATAAGATAAGAACATACCACTGGATGTGATAGGTCAATTATAGGTAAATCCAGTTATATTAATCTACTGATTGTTATATGTAATACAGTAGACATACTGTCTCTTGTTTGTTTTTTTCAATGAAATAAAATGTTGTGTGAGTTTATAAATGGTGAATGCCGGGTAACAGTGAAAGGCGGGTAGACTACAAAACAGACAAGACTTGTGACCCTTGTAAACACTCTCCCTCGAAACCAGTGCTAATTGTCAACGGTATGGGGTTCTGTGCATGATGCAATGATTAACAGCTTCATTAATATTCCACCAATCAGTGTTAAGGTCAAAATTGGAGTTAGATTTATATAAACAATCATTTGTCTTGATAGTTTATTAGAAACTGTGATGAAATAGAAATTTTTTGTGAGATTTTTTTTATGATTGCATTGCATAACAGCATTGAAGGTGTTGTTGATGCATTCGCTGCTGATCACGATAGTGTGATAGTGTGATAGTGTACCAATCAGTAGTGCAACGTCCCTAATTTTCTAAATTGTGACTTTCTTCCTGGACTACAAACTTTACATGAATTTCAGTTAACATTCAAGGACCATAGTATCCAATGTTGGGTCTTATGAAAGAACAAATATAGAAAATGCCTACATAAATAGCGATGTGGTTCAGATAGACAACATGAAAGACGATAAGTTCAATTATATATTTAGCAAATCTGAAGGCATAACTGACCTATATTTCTCCACCCTCCTGTGATATGTAAATTATACCAATTTGTGATGGCATTGAAATGCTCATTAATATTACTGTAAAATCTGTATTAGAAGCCGCATCCCTAATAGAAGTCGCACTCATTTTTTTTGAATAATTGAGAACCAAAAATTCATCATTTCTCATATGTGTAGATGCTCTATTAGAAGCCGCATCCCCTCTGTTGCATTGTACCATTTTAATAGAAGCCGCGGTTTCTAATACAGATTTTACAGTAAAGTGCCTGTGAAATGCCCACCCACACGTTTCCCATTTTAGATCAGTGTCCCACTGAAAAGGACAGTTACTGAATTTTGTTGTTGAAAATGATTACTCGTATCTAAGTAAATTTGAGATATTTCTCGTGCTGTAACCATGCCCACCTATCCTGAAACAGTCGACTGTTTCCGGATTTCCAACTCTCGCCGAAGTTAAAGTGTGCCATCAAATGTAAAAATTTGAGAGGAAGCCATATTTGTGTGTTGTACGTACGATATACATTTTTCGATAGTTTTTTGTTTGTTTTTTATTTTATTGTCTATTTTTTTTTTTTTGAGAGAGTTTTTATAAAAAAATAGATTCCGTACCAACCTATGTTCACTGAGGCAGATTTCGGAAAACAGTGTAGTGAAATGCCTAGTAACCTGCTAAATAACGAGACAATTCAGGCGTCAAATTTGATTTTGACAACTTGGCGACATAGGCATAGGTTTCCGTGGAAATAGAAGTTGACCAACTACCATGGTGACAGTGGTCTACACGTTAACTAGCTAGCAAATCCAGCAATACAGCTAAATAGTAAAGAATCAACATATTATTATTATATCCTATTTGTTGTCTTTTTTTTTTTTTAGGACAATGACCTTTCCATTCTGTTAAATCCTGTGAAATGAGATCATCTTCAATTACATATAATACCACACATGGATATCTAAGTTGTATAACCTTAGCTTATATGCCCTTGATATATTATGAATTAAGTTATATTTTAGGTTTTGGACCATTTGGTGAACACAAAGTTAATGCAAGTTATATTTTAGGTTTTGGACCATTTGGT